ATTCGGTTCTTGAAAGAGGAGAGGAGGAGGAGGAGGAATCTGACACTAAAAAAGTGAAAGAGAAAAAAAGGGTAAAGGCAAAAAAAAAACTTTAGAAACACAAAGAAAAAAATAAACTCGCTTTTAATATACTCACATAAGCTGCAAAGAAAATGAGGTCATGTAATACACAATCATTCCTCTACTTGACAATAGAATACAAGTGCTTTTCGAAGAAAACAAATTTGTTTTTCCGCTGGTTATTTAGTTGGTCCACAACACCACCATCGAATAAAAATAACTCAAGATTTACCTGGGCACAGATTCAGCAGTGTGATCTGCTGAAAATAATACATCTTTAGCCAACAATATCCAGAATATTCTAGAGGAAACAATTTGCTTTTCATCTGGAACGGGTTAGGACTTGACTTTACATAGATTTGTTTTTTATGAGAAGCACTTATATACAGTTTACTTGAAAATAAGGTTTTCCAAGGTGCAGAGTACCGAGGTGCAACACTATGTCATGGTCCCAGCATTATGACAAGGGGGTGCTAAGCTTTCTGGGGTGGTCTATGGTTGGGTGTGCTGGTTGGGGGAAAAGCCAGTATGGCTGCCTTCGTGTCTTATAGCTGGAGGAACACATGGCAATGGGGAGACCACTGCAGCTGCAATCAGAAATTTACCCAAACAAAGTGGATCAAACTTTCAAGTTAAAAGACTTATTTTGCTTTGGATAGGTATTTGTTGATATCTACCAATTATTAAAGATAAATCCCCTTACCCCACATCCTGTTTTAAAGGCAAAGGAATAAATTTTTTTTTTTTTCATTCTCTATTTAAGGAACTACCAACTTATTCCAAAGACAAGACAATGACTCGGAGCTTCAAAGTAAAGACTGTCACTCTATCTGAGTCCTCTATCACTGGCTGGGACCTAGGAGATGGCAGAGGCGGGAGGAAGGGACGCCCAAGGTGATACCTAAGGGGAAGTCATGTTCTGAAAGGGGGGTTATTTTAGTTTGACATGTCTGTTTAATGAAACAAAATTCCACTCTATTAGCTACAGTGGACTTGGCCAGTTCAAAGCTTATGGACATGGGTGACTCCTCATGTTATTCCACAGCTCTGCATGTGGACAATTTCAGAGGTAGGAAACCGTATTCCAGTTAACCAACCACTTCCAAAACCATGAACACTGAGGCTGCACCGTATAAGGACCCAGGATATATAATAACAGTATTGTAGATTTTATATATTTTTAAGTTCTTATCAGTTAGACATATATCCTGAAATTTTAACAGGCAAAATAGGATATTAGGGACTTGTCTTAAAATACTCTAGGAAAAGCAAGTATGGGACAGGAGAGAGAGATCAAATGAGAATGCTGATTTCTAAAACTCACTGGTGGGTAATGGGAATATTAGTATCTCTGTTCTGGCATATTAGAAATTTTTCCATAATAGAAATTAAAAAACAGAAAAAGAAAATAAAGTTAGTTCTGGGGGAAAACAAAAAACAAAACAAAACAAATCCAAAAGGACTTGAGGCCTCACAGAGGAATCTGCCTGCACAGTGGGTGATCCTGGGCCTGTGCCCCAGGGTTGGCAACGGAAGTTCACTGTGGCTGTGGCTGTGCACCCTCACGGATGCTAACACCGCAAGGCTCTGCTTGTGTCGGACGCCTGTGCCCTTTAAAAGGGATTTAGAAAAGCAGTGAAGTGTTGGGCATGGTGCTGATGAGCTGCCACCCGCCAGGGCTGGGTTCTCCCAGGCCACATTTGATCTCAGGGTCACTTCTGTTTCACTGGGAACCATTCTGACCTCGGATAAGGTCCTTTTCTCTTTTCCTCTATAGCCCAGTTGCTTTTCTAGATGGGCAGTGCTGCAGTGGATATTCAAAATTAGCCAGGCTCCTTTAGCACATGAAAACTGTTCAAAGGCAAAGGGAGGAAAAATGACTGTGGTCATGCTGGATGGATAAGAATCCAGAAAGTAAAATCCATGTGTCATGGATTACTATATGACTGTAAAAAAGAATAAGGAAATTCTCCACGGATGGATATGGAGGCATCTTCAGATATGCTGTGAAGTGCAAAATGGCAGGTGCTCAAAAGCATATATAGTGTGTGATCGTTCATGTAAAGGGGCAGGGGAAATGATATATATGCTTGTTTGCATGAAAAAATACTGGAAGCGTAAACAAAAAGCTAATAAATACGGTTGTCTTTAGGAACAAATAAGATGGACGGGCAGGGAGGGAAGCCAAACTTCTCTACAGCACCTTGTGAATTAGTTTTTGGCTTTTGAATTATGTAAATGTATTTCCTCTTCAAATCAAATCAAGGTGAGGGAAATAAAAAATCTGTGGGTGGTTCGCAAGGCGGGCTCTCCACACAGGTGTGTGAATGAGAGCATCTGCCCGTTCTGTGACTCACCATGAGCTGAACCACATGCAGTTGGGCTCTATTAATCAAGGTGGAGGCATTTTTCCCCATTTTAAAGCAAGCCTTCCCAATGTGTAAGTTTCTTTGATTTACATTGTCATTTCAGAATGTTTTACCCTTGTTTACAAATGATAAGGCCTCCTAAAATGGCCTTCCATTTTTCTAATTCCCTGATCTCTTGGTTAAATTGCTGGCGTGCAAATCAGTATTTTGCAGCTGCCTGGTTGGGTGGGGGGCGGTGTAGGGTGGTGGCAGGAGTCTCAGAGGGACTCTCGTGGATGACTCGACAATGAAACCATCTGTGGCAGTGCCTGAGAGGCTGTGGCTTCCCCCTGTTGTTGAGGAAGGGCATAGGAGCCCACGGTCCTGACTCCAAACACCTAGGCTCTCCGGAAATGAATGGTGGCCCACCCGAGAGACTGGCGGCATCAGTACCAATAAGCAGAGGGGGAGGAGGAAGACCCGAGGGCCAGGCCCAACCCAGGGCAGTGACACCCCAGACTGTGTCACACAGGCACATCTTCCCTAAACACCGTGGCATCTGAGAAAGCTAAATCTGAAGAGAGAGACTCTCAGGCACACTAGGGGAAATGTCCCAAGGGGCAACGGGAAGAATGAATAACAAGGACCTCATTTATTTTCTGACCCTATCTGTTCTCAATGTGATGTGGCATTAAAGTCTCGGAACTTCCAGGGAAATTAAGGTCCAGGCCAGCTGGAAAGAAAGGGGGTCTGAATTTAGTGTGGCTGTTCTCACAGGATACTCAGGAGGGAGAAAAGTGGGGAGACAGCGCTGAGTAGCCACAGCAGCTGTTTTGAATCAGCCGAAATTGCTGCTGGTGCTATAGTGAGTTTCACTTCCTCTGATTCCCTGTGTCTGAGCCTCACCTTGCAGTGGCTAGTCCTGACAGCCTGACCTCTTTCCTACAATGACAGGGCCTAGACAGGTGCCTCAGCAGGAGCTGGGATGAGGCAGAACTCTGCTGTGCTGTTCCAGCCAGGGTCTCTGCCTGGTGTGCAGTCTAAGCCCACCAACGACCACTGACCTGTCTGGAGAGTGGTCAGGCCACTCCAGGGGGTGAGTTTCTCCATGGCTCAGTCCACGTTTTAAGCAGCAGCTGCAAGCCAGATTAAACTGCACCAATTTACGATTTGTGCCGCTTCTAGCACCCAAAAATCTTTTGACCCAGGAGCCGCAGGACCTATGGATCTGATTTCTCAAGCTGACTTTAAATTTGGTAGAAGGGAGCCGAGGGCAGATATGCAGTCTGCAAGGCAGCTGTGGGGGTGGGCCTGGCTTGAGCATCACATCTGGCTCCCGAAGGCCCTATCGCTCTTAGCCCACCTGGATAGGTTTTTCCAGGGGACAAGCCCTGGCAGTGCAGGACTCAGAGCTGCTCTCGGGCTTTCTTTGGAAAGGTTCTGGCAGGAGCTGGGATGTGGCACAAGGACAAAAAAACAACCTCGTGGTCCCTTTCATGCAGCCAGCCCATAAAAGACCAGGCATACCCAGATAGAGATGAAGCCGTACACGGTCCCCTGTGAGTGGGGGAGAAGGAACAGGAGCAGGTTCCAAATGATGCTCTAGAATGATTTTTGAGGCTCAAAGAAGAGCAGGTCTATGTGTTTTGTGGGTCTGTCAAGTCACCCAGGTTACCACTGAATCGTTGGTACAGGTTGGGCGTCCCTAATCTGAAAATTCAAAATCTGAAATGCTCTAAAATCCAGATGTTTCTGAGTGTTGATACGACACAAGTGGAAAATTCCGCACCTGACTTCACGTGATGGGCCACAGTCAAAATGCAGTCAAAAGTTTGTCTCATGAACAAAATTCTTTAAAATATTGTATAAAATTGCCTAAAATTAGGCTCTGTGTATAGGTGTATATGAAACAGAAATGGACTTTGTGTTTAGACTTGGGTGCAATCCCAGGATATCTCATTATGCTTATGTAAATATTCCCGAACCCAACACACTTCTGGTCCTGGGCATCTCAGGTAAGGGACACTTCACCTGGGTCACCGTTGTGGGGTCTACGCAGGTGGACTCACTCCCCTGTACTCAGGCGAATGTGGAACACACACACAACGAGGTGTGCAGATTTGCTCATAGGCAGGAAGTGCCTCGGGCCTCTGCGTGGGGACAGTGGAACCCACCTGCCACCCTGTGGGGTCTTGTGCTAGGTGTATGTGTGTTTATATGTGCAACTGATTAGAAAGCGAACCTTGCTTTCAGCGAGGTCTGAAACCCAAAGCGAGAGGGAGACACAGGGAAGCAGAGGGGAAACCTGATGGGGACAGAAACCACCTCATTTTAGTTTCAAACTTTAAGTTCCAAGAGCAAAGGGGGAAACCGATTTCAAAGCACTGGGCTGGGCAAACCATACGACTGGCCCCACCGAGAACAAACACTTGAGAAAGACACTGGAGAAATGCACCTCGATTGAGTGTTTAAACCATTTGTGCGAGAAATTTTTCCAACCTCAACCCGATCAGTCTCATCCCATGTCACTCGGTCCCAGGCCCCCACATTCTCCATGACACCATTTCGTCCCCTCTGGCTTTTTATTCTCACCTGTCTCGGGATCGCTGAAGTCTGGCAAAGTAATTGTATTAAGCTGTCGTCTGTCAGCAATGGTTCTATCTAAGAGGCTGCTCCCACGTCCAGAATCACTGCAAAACACAGCTACAAATGTCAGTCACCTGCAAGGTGGGAGGAGGGAAGGAAAGAGAGGCAACCAGTACCGACTCCTGAAGGCCAGTGAATACCTTCTGTGCGGTTTTTATGTTCTTCAGCATCTTTCTTATGAAGGAGGCATCCTGCTTCCTGGCTCGGCCTGGGCTGGGATTCCTTTCAGTGTTCACGATCACAAACAGGGCATAAACCACACCCACAGACCCTGGCTAATTTTGGCCTCTTTTGTGTCATTAGAAGACACAAAAATGAAAACTTCAAGCTTCGTTTTCCATCCACCTTACAAGGGGAAACTGATTGGCATTAGCAACCTTAGAAAGCGAAGTCTCAGCAAGGGAGTCCATGAACACGCCACCCAGGAAGAGTTGTCTTCATGAACCAACGCTCCACACCCGCGCTTCTAAACCCAGGCTGCATGAGAAAATCACCCAGGACACCTCTAAACAACAGACACCTAGGTCCCACTGTGGACTGAACAAATCAAAACTCCGGGCTGGTCGACATTTTTCACAGCTCCTCAGATGGTTCTAAGGTGCAGCTGCTGGATTCAAGGACCCCCGACCCCCCTTTCTGACTGTGATCACAGTCATGTGCTCCTCAGGGTCCCCAGAATGTAGGCCTTCGTGCTACATCGTGTGGTTAACTTTCCTGCCGGTGTACCAGCCCTGTCTGGTGTTCCTAAGCTGGAGAAAGCCGGCTGCTAGGGATATGCAGGGACTGGGAGAGAACATGGCAGGGTTTTGGTGGCAGCCTCCATAACACCACTCCTACCAGCTTCCTGCACTGCCCATCTCTACTGAGTCCCCTCTCCAGCTTGCGTCTACAAAACAGGCTTGGCATTGTTCACCTGGTAATGCCACACGGGAGACCACAGCGGGCCTAACTGGGAAACGGTTAAGGGATCTCAGCCAATATGGATTTCTTTTTTTAAATTCTGGGAAGCTTGTAGGTAAACACTATTGCTTTTTTCCTGTATCATGATATCCTATCAAAGCAGCTCCAAAAAGAATCACATCTGTCTCTTGAAGTTTGAATCTTCAATGCTTTTCTTTGAATCTATTTTCTTTTCCAATCTGGGGGCTTTAAGAGTGATTTTTTTGTTGTGAAGAAGTTCAGATTCTACAATAAAGGGACACAATTTCCTTCCTTTATGCAGCTGTTGCTAAAGCAGTACAAACAAGATTTGGCATGAAACTTAATACAGTTTACAGGCTGCAATTTCCACATCCAGCGATTTCTCTAACTACATTAGAGAAATCCACAGGAAGCAGAAGGAAACTTCCTTCAGGACAGACTGTTTGTCAGCCTATACTTATTACATCATCTCAGACATGTTTTTGGAAACTGCTCTTTTAATTGCTTCTATAACTGAGAAACAATACATGTCTCCGAACAGAAGACAACATAAAAGTACACGCAAATTTCCATTCATCACAACACTGACTGAGTATTTCTAGCGCAGGTCTGTCCAGGTAGCATTTTTCACATAAATGCTCCTAAGTGCAAATTATCTGAATATTGCAATGGCAATCCACTTAGGAGTTTTTCAGAAGATTTGTCTCAAAATACAGTGAAATGATGACATATTATTCACCACCTTGGGGATTCCAAGACACGCGATGAGGTACTGGCATTGCAAAGGAAGGATTTGCCTGGGTTTCTGGGGGTCCAAATCTGAGGTTTGTTTCAGACATTCTCATCTTCCAGGCTTCCTATCTCACCATGTTTCGGTGCTGTCACTAATGAGGAGGTCACTTTGGGCGAAAGGCAGCTTTCCCTGTGCCTCACGGACTTCCCTGATCAGATGAAGATAAGGATTGTTGTCCTACACAGAACTGTGTGAGGAAGACATAAGGTCATATAGATGGAGCATTGTGAAGACTTACAACTTTTAGGTACATGCCAGGTGTGTATAAACCCACATACCTACAACACACATCTGAGGTTAATATGGCCAGTCAATTCCTGCAGCCAACTTATCCCTAGGCTTCTGGTGCAATTGTAGGAGGTACGGGGAAGCCAAGTTAAAATGCTAGAAATCCCAAACAAAACCATCATCTGAATTTTGAACCTCACCCCCTGACAATGGCACAGGATCCACATTCCCTCCACCAGCTGGGAAACGGCGTTCAGTTACATCCTTAGTGTGTCTGCCTTAGTTCCCTCTGAACACAGTGTGTGCACAACAGTCCACTATTCAACATAGAGATGCTTTTGTTTCCACATTGAATGTTTTCTCTCTAAAAATAATTAGGGCTGGGCACAGTGGTTCACGCCTGTAACCTCAGCACTTTGGGAGGCTGAGACAGGAGGATGGCTTGAGCTCAGGAGTTCAAGATCAGCCTGGGCAACATAGCAAGACTTCATCTTTATTAAAAATAAAAAAATAATTCAGGCGTGGTGGTGTGCACCTGTGACCCCAGCTATCTGAGAGGCTGAGGCAAGAGGATGGCTAGAGCCTGGGAGACAGACCGCAGTGAGCTATGATCATGCCACGGCACTTCAGCCTGGGCGACAGAGCAAGACTGTCTCAAAAAAAATAAAAAGTAAAAAAAATAAAAATTAAAAATAATTAGGTATTTGTGACCGATTAAGAATTTTACTGAATGCTTGAAGCAATTTTTAGTTCTTCATTTACATGGTACAGAGTCTTCACCAATCAAGATTTGCATTTGACCCCTAGAATACTGGACAAGGGGCAAGGAGAGGCCTTGAGCAGCCCTGAGTCTCCCTAACTTGCTCGCTCTGGCCAGTCTCTCAGGCAAGCTGGAAAGTCACCTTCCTCTCTCCCTCTGCGACACATCTGCTCGGGCACTTCTGTGAACCACCCATTTCCTCCTCATGGCCCAGTCACCTCCCTCTTCTCTGCCAGGCCCTTAGGCTGCCAGGAGCACTTCCCAAGGAAGGAGGCAGGAAGGGAGAGAAAACCACTCCTGGTGAGTGCTGGTAGTAGAGGGAGAGGAAATGGGAAGGACCTCAAATCCAGAGTATGTAAGTAGGGGATGCCCACATGTGTAGATGCACACATGCAGGGACTTCTATTCCCTATAACCACTGAATTGTAATGAGAGTTAAAGTTATACTGGCCATTAGAAGCCTCTCTTGGAAATCCTCTATCTTCCACAGCCACACAGAGGTTAAACATAAGAGGCTTGGTGGTGGTGGGGTGGGCTCGGAGTCAGAACGCTGGAGCTCTTGTCTCAGCTGAGCCTCTTCCCAACTCCTGGAATAGTGCCTGGCACACAGTACTGCACCTAAAAGAAGGGCCTCGGCTAGGGAATCAGAACAGGGGCAGATCAGGGAGGAACTTCTGTTTTTGGAGGCCTGGATTATAAGAGTCAAGGTAAGTTCCCAATGTCCCGGAGCCTCAATTGTCTCATCAGTAAAATGGGTATGAGATCATATGACTTTTGCCCATTTTATGGGGCTGCTTCAAAGATGGAATGAGGATATGCTTTATAAAAAGAAAAGCTCCACCCAAATGCTAGTGACTGTAAGGATGAAATGGGATCTCTGACTCCTAACTGAGGTTAGAGCAAAAAAATGTGAATGTGAGTATGTGTGTGTTTAAATGCTGTTTGTTGGCAAGTAACTGAAACAGGACTTTGAATCATCTGCAGATGTCACCTCATGGGTACATGACGGAGATGGGTCTAGTAGCAGTGACAAGAGGGGAAAAGAAGTGGTTAACAATAAAAAATGAAAAGAAACTGGTTGTCAGCTCAAGAGAGGCAGCATGCTAGTGTGGAGAGAGCTTTGATGTTAGGCCTGGGGCTGAATCACTGTTCTGCTACATATTCAATTGGAAAAACTTAGGCGAGTTATTTAACCACTTTTATCTTCAATTTTATTTTCTGTAAAATGGAAGTAATGGTAGCTATCTTGCAAGGCTAATGTAGGGATTGAAGATAACACATCAATGGCCTAGTACAGTGCTGGCACGGAGAAGGTTCAAGAAACACGGTTATTACCATCCCTGGCTGAAATGCTCTGAGATTCAGTTCAGGGAGCCTGCTGGGGCCTTCTGGTGAGATTCTAGTGAGAATTCACACTGTCTTGAGTGGCCAGGTCAACATGCACAAGGACTGAGGGAGCCTTACATTTCACCCAGGGAGAGGAGACAAAGCATGAGACAGATTTCTATCCCAACTGCAAGCAAAACTGCAGACCGAGGGAAATAGAATCCAGGCTTCTGAAATGACAAACACCTCGCCAAATGTAAGCGAATGCCACCCACCATTTTGCTCACAGCAAGAGACGCATCTCCAACTGCAGGTGGAACACTATTTGCAAGTTTTCCAACGCTCAGTTTAGCGACTAGCTCAGTGTAATTTTTTTCCCCCTCTTTAAGCAAAAGTTGGGAAGAGGGAATGGGTTGCTGAGAATACGAAGCTAGAAGCTAGGGTCTGTTCTCAATTTGGCCACTCACTCCCTGCTACTGCCCACATCTTCCTCGTCTCACTGCCCTGGAGGCCTGTGCAGAGCCTGGGGTGGATCTGGAAGGGGGTGGGGAAGACTGGGGAACTGGCAGGTCAAGCAGAGGGCCCAAAACAAACCCAGCATGCTCAGAAGCAAGGAAGCCGGACGTCAGCACGGACCAGCTCCGGGGAGAAGCCAAATGCGGCCTGCCAAAATGCTTTCTGCTCAGTTTTCATTTTATTTTAAAGAAGGCATGATTCTTAGGTGCTTGTTCATGTGATTCTACCCTCCTCTAAATCCCTGTATGCCCTGATCCCAGCCTCTAGGCTGCTGGAGCCGCAGCGGCCCCACTCCAGAGCGCTGCAAGGTATGTGTCCCCCGAAAGACAAAGCCCTTCCTTCAGGCTTTATTCTGTTGCCAGGGTCACCTCTTACTGAGCAGGCTGTGGGGGAAGACTGCATTTACACAATGATAAAGGCTACAGGAGAAACATTTATTTCTACCCCAGAGAAAATCAAGTTAAAAAACCAGACAGGACACTCCTTAATAAGGGGCTGTGCGATTCACCAGCCCTCCCTCAAGGCTTTGTGGGGAGCTGGAGGGGGAATTCTGAGTGACCGGTGGGGCCTCTACCGCCCACCCCATCCGCCAGTCCCCACCAGACACTGCCTGGAGCCAGGGTCCTCCCCACTCTGGCCCTGAAGGAACCTTCAGGAAACAGAGGAAGTATGGACACAGCCCAGGCATTTGGTTAAGTATTTTTAAAAAGCTTTCCAATTCTGCTATTTTTTTTCTCCTCACATTCAATATTCTTGGTTGCTAAGTGGGAGGGAATGTGGGGAGGTGGGAGAGGTGTGGGGAACTGAGGGGAAATTGGCAACACGAAGCTGATGGGTTTATTTTTTCATTTCTAAAGGGGGTACAGGCAAAGGAACGCGCTCCGGCGCCGAGGCAACCTGCCTGGGCAGCATCTCCTGCTAGCTGGTTCGGAGGCAGACTCCCCCAAATCCTGAAGATTTCATAGGCCAGGAGTGGGGGCTTTCGGGGGAGATAAATGTGGACAGTTTCTATTTTTGCTCCCAGACTTAGAAATGTAGAATTTTTAAAAAATTAAAATGATCTTTATTTTGAGAACATATCCACAAAAGGGAAGAGGCCAGTCTCATGATTACCTGTCACCAAGCGAAGGGCGGGTGTGCCTGGCAGCACAGCGCCGCGCCATTCCTGTGCCTGGGAAGGGGACTCCCAGCTTGAATCGGGGGGACGGGGCGGGGGGACCTGGGGCTGCTTGGGGGAGGGCGGGGCAGGGGCTGGACAGCACATGGCTTTCCAGGCAGAGTTCTCTTCCTTCCAGGTACACAGCCCACAGGGCCTGGGGTCACAGGTCTGTCTGTCAGTTTCCAGGGGGTCCATCCCCTTAACAGGGCCCTGACTTTGAACATTTTTTTTAAACTGCAGAAACGTTTGTAAAGCAAAATCTCACAGGGAACCCCATCTCTGTTCTGCTGCTTCTGTAGCCCTCCCTCCCTGCTGGTGTCTGCAGACCACGGCCACCAGCCCACTGCCCACCTCACCCTTAGTACTCATTTACATTTTAGGTGACACGTTTTTAGGCCCCTGATTCTTAAAAGCATGATATCAGTTGCACAGGAAGGTAAAAAATACTCTGAGTGTATGAGCAGTTGTGTGAATTCACTTAATCATTACATCCCTTCTCATTACATGACTTCCTTCACTTAGTAATCTAAACACATGCAAGGGAAAACTGTGCAAGACTTGGAAATGGGCAAATAGGTTATTGGGTGTCCGTCCATGGAATGCGGGGGGTTGACCAGCAGACCTTCCTGGGGTTATCTGACTCTAAAGGGGCAGGCACCGTTGACTCACTTCCCATTGACTGAGCTACTTTACAGCTCTGTAGGGGTAGAAATTAACCTGCAGAAAACTGATAATAAGGCAAGTGAATTTTGTTTGTGGGGGAGAGACAATTGATGTTGTCACCCTGTAGTAAAGAACCCCAAACGATATCTTTCATCGTCTTACAGGATGCTGTTTTTGTATCTACTTGCAAATCATTCAGCATTCCTGCCTATGAGTATCTGTTCTTCAGATTCTTCTGTGAATAGGTCTTAACATTTTCCGGGTTCCTGCATGAGTTAATAAGGCAAATAAAATCTTTGACATGTGTGTATTTGATAGTTGTATGCGTCATGATTTTAACTTTTTCACAGTGATCTTTTATCAGACTAATAGCCACTAGCATGCGGCCTGTTGTCTGTGCAGGTCTTTTAAATATTACTGCAGGAACCCCAGCTGGAACACAGAAGAGACTGATCTGTACATAAATTACCAGAAAGATAAGACTTGTCAAAGGAGTTAGGTAAACGGACGGTAGAGAGAAACTGGATAGAGATCCATTGCGAATTGAGCCCAGTGGGTCACTACGGCAGTGAAAGCAAAAGAAACCCAGGATCTGGAGGCTGCATCAGCCACTGGGACAACAGCACCTTAAACATGGAGTGTGAAGCTCCACTGCTATCATCTGCCACTTTTGGGGGCCTGGAGGTGCACAGGGGTGACAGAGTTAATGCCTGCTGAATGCCAATCAGAGAAGGCACTGATAGGCAGGGACCCATGCAAAAGCCACGCAAAGCAGGCCTTGCTGGCCTCTTACCTGGGGTTGGTGAGGTTGTAGCAGGATTTCCATATCTGCAGCATGTGCTTACAAGTCAGGAGTGCCTCGTCTGGGCCCCGGCAGAGTGACTGCAACTTCACTTTGGAAAACAGTAGTCTGCAGTGGGGAGACAAAGGGAGAAAACACTGCAGCTCAAGCCACAGAGTCCCCATCCCTACAAGACAAGCGGTGGGCTTAGACCCAGAAGCAACTGTACTCATTTCAGAAACTATCCACATGTGTGGTCCAAGGAAAGCGGGATTCCAGAATTCCCGGCTCAAGGTGTTACTTTGCATAAGTCTCGCCACTAAGGCAAATGCAAGCACGATGTGACTATTTGTGGTCAGGCTGAAAGCATTAGCGTGGCCAATTTTATTCAGAACACAGGGAATTTACTAAAAGCATGCTTTTTAGAACCAAACCAATTTATTTATGAAACCTCAAAAACTCATTAAAAGAGAACTTGGTTTATTTACAGAATTACACAGGAGATATGACTCAGTTGATATACATATCTACAGATAACCCTCCACAATGATGCTCACCGTCCTGTGAGCTTCAAAAGCCTGAGCGGAAGTCCCATGAAGAAGGGCAGCCTCTGGCATAGGCCGTCAGCTCCTGCATCGTCCCATGCCTGCTACTGAGGGCCTAAGGCTCCTTCCGCAATCACCTAGGTCTCTCTTCCCTGTTTTTTGTTACCATCAACTGCTCCACCCTCCGCCAAGACCTTCTGGGCACTAAGCTCAGAATGTTCTCGCTTTCGTGGCCCCTCAGGGTAATGCCATTTCCAGATTCTACTTATGTTTCTCTGCGGACATCAGCCTAGGTGCCTGTAGACATCAGCTCTCCTGGCCTTGTACTTGTCACCACTATCCTGGTAAAAGTCCCAGTACGAGCCCAGCTTCCTTCCTTGTGTTCTTCCTGTCCCCTGACTTACCCAGCTCTCACACATCTTATTATAAAGATCTCCAAAAATCATTCTTTCCCCCAAGATGGAGTCTTGCTCTGTCACTCAGGCTAGAGTGCACTGGCATGATCTCGGCTCACTGCAACCTCTGCCTCCTGGGTTCAAGTGATTCTCCTGCCTCAGCCTCCTGAGTAGCCGGGATTACAGGTGCCCGCCACCACGTCTGGCTAATTTTTGTATTTTTAGTAGTGCTGGGATTATAGGCGTGAGCCAACGTGCCCAGCCCCCAGAAATCATTTTTGTTCCCACCTCCTTTTTTTTTTTCTTTTTTGAGGACGGAGTCTTGCTTGCAATCTTGGCTCACTGCAAGCTCTGCCTCCTGGGTTCATGCCATTCTCCTGCCTCAGCCTCCCCAGTAGCTGGGACTATAGGCACCCGCCACCACGCCCAGCTAATTTTTTTGTATTTTTAATAGAGATGGGGTTTCACCGTGTTAGCCAGGATAGTCTCGATCTCCTGACCTCGTGATCCGCCCGCCTCGGCCTCTCAAAGAGCTGGGATTCCAGGCGTGAGCCACCGCACCCCGCCTGTATCTTGTCCTTTAAGGCACTCCACCAACTAGCCACTCTTCTTTCACCATCTCATCCGACTGGACCCGTTACTTCTGCCAATATAGGCCAAATGCTACCTTTCTGGCACAACTCTATGGCTATACGTGCCACGTCCCCAATTGTAACTTCCACTCATGCACATCTTTCTTTAATTCTTCCCAAACCCAGCTAGAACCCCACTTAAATAAGTAAGTCTTCTGTCAATACGAGTTTTATCCCTTTATCTTCTCTACTCAGTATGTGCCATATTAGCTCATGTTTGCTGTTAATACTAAAAAGAAGAAAAAGAGAGGGAGGAGCTCCTGCTGACTGAAGGCATCCCATGTGCCAGGCTTGTGTTTGGTACTTCACACGTGGTCATGTCCTTGGAAGAAGCTGTCAAGGCAGGTGGTGTCTAACACTCTTCAACAGAGAAGGAAACCGAAGCTCTGGTGCCCTTTGGTTGTTTTCTGGATGTGATTTTCTCCCTGAGGACAAGAGCCCTGACATCTCTCTCTGCCTCTCTGTAGCCTCAGCTCCAGTACCAAGAACTGTGCTCTGAATTCATGGGGCCTTAAATCAGCATTTACTCACCGACTACTTTTTCTATAAACCACAGAAGATAAAGCAAGGTGTTTTAGAGATTTCAGTTAGACATCCAGGAGAATTCCTTCACCCTGCATGATGTGAGGTCCTCATTCAAAGGTACCTTAGAGGAGGAAAGTCTCTTTTTCATGTGTGAGAGGTGGAATGAAAGTGGTCCTAACCCATCACTGCCCAAGTTCGGGATAAGTTCACACCAAGCACCCCCAGCACCCCCTCCAAATGGAAGTCCAGGGCGGTGTGGTGCTCCCAGCGGGTCCAGGGCTGCGGCCTCCCCATGCCTGGCCTTGCAGAAGCCTGGAATGATGGGATGAGGGCCAGGTAAAGGGAGGGATGTAGTCCCTGATCTACAAGCAGGTGGGCATAAAGAGCGAGGCCAGATGTGAGAACAGGGCTCAGCTTCTGCTCAAAAACATCTCAAGAAGCGGAAATGCTTTGGAAGCCTTACCAAGACTGCCTAAATGGGATGGCAGGCGCTCCGGATGCCTCTGGGGGGATTTAAAGACACCAGAAGCTGACTCCTGCTGAAGCCTGCCCGAGTCCAGAACATGATGGGAGTACTTTTCCACCAGAATCTCCCACCAAACTGGGGTCAACTAAGAGAGTTGACAAAGGAAGGAGAAACTGCCAAATAGGTCACCATTGGGTAGCGAGGGTGAGGAGTGGTTGCCAAGCAATTGCGGCAAGGGGAGGCCCCACGGAGGACTGTGGGGGGTCCAGGAAGCCGTGCACGTGCTGCACAGGCTGGAGCTCTCTGGGGGCCATGCCAAGAACTCTTCTCCAAGGGCACCTGCCTCCCAGAGGAGGTGCCTGCCCCACAGCAGGCAGCGGGGTGCCTCTAACAGCAAAGAACTGTGATTCCTTTAACTGTACCCAAAGGAGAGAATGCCAGAGTGCGTCTCTAAGCCTCAGCTTGGGGGAACAGTTTTGAGCAAGCCTTCTTGGCTGGAAAAAGAACTTCTAATTAACATAAAATAACAGCTTTCAAACACTTGACTCAGGATATGGAGTTGAAAAGGTGTGGGCTTGGATTTCAGAGAACCAGACAGGAAGGACAATGGTAGAGTGGCTGAGCACAAACGGTGGAAAAAAGCACTTGGAAGACCTCTCAAGAGGAACAGCATGAAGAGAGGCTGGCAGAGAAAAAGAGCCAGGGACACAGCAGGGACAAAGAGGAAAGCCTGCAGCTGCTGCCCAGGTACGGCTGGGATGATGGGCAGAGGCCACGTGGATTTGGCCAGGATGATGGGCAGAGGCCACGTGGGTTCGGCCGGGATGATGGGCAGAGGCCACGCGGGTTCAGCTGGGACAATGGGCAGAGGCCACACGGGTACGGCCGGGACAATGGGCAGAAGTCACGCAGGTACAGCCGGGACAATGGGCAGAAGCCACGCAGGTTTGGCCGGGACAATAGGCAGAAGCCACGAGGGTACAGCCGGGATGAGTGGCAGAAGCCACACAACTGTAGTCAGTACAATGGGCAGAAGCCACACAATTGTAGTCAGTACAATGGGCAGAAGCCACGCAGGTATGCCCAGGACAGTGGACAGAAACACCTGCCCCGCCTGTCCCCAACACTCCCTGGGATGCCCAAGGGAAAGCAGGAACAGAAGTTGCCGCTTTCCATCATTTCCCCAAACCTCAGCTTGTTTACAAGATACAAAACAATACTGAAAACAGAAGCAGTGATGCTCGTCATCCTATTTGCCAAACCTGCTTACACACTTCAAGACTGTTCAAAAACATCTGGCTGGGTATATGTTACATTAGCACAGAAAGGAAGAGTACACAAACAATGGTCAGCATTCATTTGCTGTGGCTGACACCCAAAGATATAGATTCAATGTGCTGAGGAAACCCTGAGGCAAAAAGAAAGTTACGGAAAAACTTGCGAAAAGTTAACATTTAATACATTTCAATATGTCTAACTGTCAACATGATGAAGAGGGCAGAGGAGACGAGGGTGAGACTCTGAGCTAGCCACACAAGTTCATGCATTTAATTTTTTTTTTTTTTTTTTTGAGACAGAGTCCCACTCCGTTGCCCAGGCTGGAGTGCAGTGGTGTCATCTTGGCCCACAGTCAACCTCCACCTCCTGGGTTCAAGCGATTCTCCTGCCTCAGCCTCCCAAATAGGTGGGACCACAGGCGCATGCCATCACACCTGGCCAATTTTTGTATTTTTAGTAGAGACAGGGTTTTGCCATGTTGGCCAGTCTGGCCTTGAACTCCTGACCTCAAGTGATCCACCTGTCTCGGCCTCCCAAAGTGCTGGGATTACAGGCGTGAGCCGCCATGCCCAGCTATGAATCTAATTTAAAATATATATATATTAGCCAGGCATGGTGGCTCACGCCTGTAACCCCAGCAGTTTGGGAGGCTGAGGCAGGCGGATCACTTGAGCTCAGAAGTTCAAGACCAGCCTGGGCAACATGGTGAAATTCTGTCTCTACAAAAAATATAAAAATTAACTAGTCATGGTAGTGTGCACCTGTAATCCCAGGTACTCAGGAGGTTGAGGTGGGAGGATTGCTTGAGCCCTGGAAGTGAAGGCTACAGTGAGCTGAGATCATGCCACTACACCACTCTAGCCTGGGTGAAAGAGTGAGACTCTGTCCCCCTCCCCCCAAAAGAATATTTTGTTCATAGACTCATTGAAAACTTACAGAAAATTAATGAAGGAAAGAAGAACCTTGCTAAAGTACCAATCAGATCTCATTACTGATGACCCAAATCTAGCATCTCATACAATGCCTTTGCTGTCTGGCTCCTGTCCACCCACATGCTTAGCTACCAAAGGATTTGTTCATTGCCCATCACCTACGCTCCCACTCGAGCTGTGGTCAACTTCCCCCACGTGTCACTCTCCTCCATGACCCTGGCTGTTTGCACGTGCTGTTCCCTCTGTTTGGAATACCCTTTCCATCCATTTCTGCCTTTTAAGCATCTATTCATCCTTCAAGATTCAGGTCAACTAGCAACCCCTCACTGAAGCCAGACTTAAATAATAGGAGTTAA